GGGGGGGGGGGGGGGGGGGGGGGGGATCGGCACCGGATGCTCAACAACAACAACAACAACACAAGCAAGTCGGCAGCACCTGGGGCACGACGTAGACCACCTCGTTCTTCCGCCACGGGATCGCCGCCGGGGGCACGCTGCCACCCCTCCCCTCCCTCAGAGCGTCGAACGCTCGATCGAACGGGGCCGCCATCAGATTTCGCTTCAGCTCCGTCAAGCTTTTTGTCGCCGTCAACGAAAAACAAAAGACAAGGGATTTAGTGTGCAAGAAACAATACGCCGTCATCAGCCACGGAGAGAATGTCGCACAAATACACGAGGCAGACAGGGAAAACGAACTAAAAAACTGCCGCATACAGATTTGTAAATTTTCTTATTGGTTGGTTGAGGTTAGCTGGGCTGTTCGAGTGCTCGAATCAAAAATACGTCAGCTGTGTGAGCTTGGGACATGTCACACCGCAGCCGCTGGGGGCAGCCAGCTGTGATTTAGTCGTGCTGCCTTTTATTCCGTCACCTAACGGTAGGTAGAGACCACCAGGGACGGTAACTCAACCACGGTGTACAGCAGTAACAAAAGGAACAAAAGAAACGGATGCCGTGGTTGTTCACCTCTTGAGAAGTTGCTCCGCAGGTACGGTGGGGTTATCCAGGTTTGTGGTGATCGTCAGGTTGTGCCCTGGACGTACCTGGGGAGATATCATCCCCTGGTACTTCGTCGCCAGCACTTCCGACCCACCATTGCTGGAGCGCGGGAAGGGGAAGGGGTGATATTTAGTGGTGTTGTTACATCATTGAGAGAGAGGGGGGGGGTGGGGGGGGGAAGTAGTCATATGTTGAAATGGCTTGGCTGGTAAACCATTGGGAGATAAGGGGGGAGGGGTACTACAAACAAAATCGCACGGAGGTGGTGATGGAAGGCGCGAAAAAAAAAAAAAAGTCCGTAGAGGGGGGACGTTTTGAGGCTTTTGGCGTGGTTTACAACGTTTGTCACCGCTTGCAGGACTATACACTGCCTATCCTATCCCATCACCTTGTCTGCCCACGAACTGAGGGAGAGGATATCGTGCACAGGATGGGCATTGTCGCAGTGCTGCTGCTGCTGCTGCTTGCGCGCGAGCGACCTGTACGCGTGGTTTTTACGTCACAACGGTCCGCTTCGACTTTTTTTGCCCCCCGGAACCAAACAGTCAAGCCGAACAACCGCACGAAAAGAACAAGAACAACAAAAACAAGAACAAGAACAACAAAAACAAGAACAAGAACAACCGTTACGATGGAAGCACCGACAAAGCGAACCGCCAGAAAGAAGCGGGTTCTAGCCCGCACCCCCCTCCTTTTCACCGTACCTGGAGATCTGATCCCAGCCGTTGATGGCTATGGACAGGGACAGCGTGCTGAGGTTGTTTGGTGGGACCTGAGGCAAGCACAGGCCGCGATAGTAGTACGGCAAGGGAAGCATAAGCATCGCGGAATGCAGTGAGAGTTACATGCAGGGGGTAAGGGTGCGCGGGGCGAAAATCGAAAGATGTTGTTCGGGGGGGACCCAAAAGCCACCCAAGAAAATCTGAACAGAATCTCAACAAGTTCGGAAAGCGAAACCGCGCGGTGGCTGGTTCTTCCCGGGGGGGGGGGGNGGGGGGGGGGGGGGGGGGGGGGGGGGGGGGATGTCCTCGAGTAGAGAAGAGAACGGAATGTCAACTGGTGGAACCGGGTCGCCCAGGATACCGATCGCTTCTTTCTCTTCATCGGTTGGTCCACGGGTTTGCCATCAACCTTACTCGAACGGTTTAGGGCTGACGCTACGTTGCGGTCTCTACCACGCTTGGAGTAGTTACTTGCACCCTTTCGATAGCAGCACACGCCTTTCACCCTCCACTTCCTCTTCATGTTCTGACTGGCCACTCTCAAACCGCCAATGAAAATCAATGGGAATCAAATCCACGGGCCAGCGACCCGATTCCACCAGTTGACACTCCGTTCAAAGGATACTGTGAAGGTCGCAAGTGACACTTTGAGGTTGCCGTATAACAAATGGCAAAAACGGTAAATTGTACCAACTGTTTTAGATCTGTGAAGGCATAAACGCTAGGGCTGTGTGTCAGGATACAGACGAGTAATACCTTTACCCCACCTCTCGGTTGGATCGTGGGTGTTCACAACCGCACCAGAGATGTCGAACCGCCAAATCAACCCCAAGTCCCTCGATATTTTTTTTCTTTCTTTCTTTTGGGGGGAACTGCTGCATATGACAAATGCTGGGCCGCACATCCGCAAATTTAACATTCGACGTGGTCAACAAGATAGTCTAGAGTCCGTTTGATCCTACCACACCGGACCATTGCATACCCGTGACACAGGATCCTGTCGTAGCGAGCAGGTGTCCAGCGGTGGTCGCGGGGTCAAGTACAGCAGTAATATCCGCCGGTGACATCCAGCAGCGTCACCGTCCGTTTTGTTGCGCGTAGAAATTTCAGCTGGAGGTATACATGTGATACTTTTTTGTTCTGTGGGCTGTAGCTGCACCGCGTGTGTTGATCTGACGGCACAGTGCACGACACCACCTTCTCGCCTTTTCACACACTTCGCATGTCTGGTACAGCAGTAGACCTGTGATCTCTCATACCTACATTGCCGGGACGGAGCGATATCGCCGCCCCAAGCCACCTTTCACGAGGATTGACCTTGGGGGGGGGNGGGGGGGGGGGGGGGGGGGGGGGGGGGGGGGGGCATGTTACGCCATGCCAATGGACGGTGCTTCTTCGTATATTTGTATTCTCACCTCTACGGTGTACATGACGTCGTCGAAGTCGGAAACCTTGAGCTCGCACGGCTCTCGTTTCCCCTCCATCAGCCGCGGCTTGATGGCATTCTCCAGGATGGGGTTGAACGAGTCCAGAAATATTTGACCCTGTGTTACGTCATGCGTACGCGCAGGTTTTTGGTGGATGGAGTAAGACACAGCGGACGGCGGTGAGAGCATCAGGGGATGTGTGTGAGATAAAGGCAAAAGCGAGTCTGTTGCGTGAGAAGGCAAGAAAGGAATTCACCATCATCGTACCGCTGTCGGCGGTCATGCGATCGATGCCTCCAATCGTTCTCTTCGTCTGCCTCTGCCTGCTGCATGCCGAAGGCATGCCTTGAGCTCTGCTTTCGTCGATGCTGGCGGTAACGGGGCACCTATTATGCTAACTGGCTACGCAAAGATGGTACGTTATGACTACGAAAAATGACCACGCAGGGGGCACGCAGACCCTAGCCGAAACCCCCACTTCGCCGATGCTATACTGTATCGTATGTTTGATTACTTGGAAAAACCTGCGCAGACTATTGACTTGTTGTTGTGCGTGCACAAATAAACGCCGCATCTCAGCTGCTCCTGTCTACTGCTGGTGAAATTTAGTCCATCAGTCTGACTGTTGTTGTTTCTACTACAGTACTTATGTATACGTAGAGGTCGTAATATGCGATATACGCTTGGGGAGTGTCACTGCTCTACTACTTCATACGAAGTATGCAGATAGAGATCGCAAAAGGGTGCAACCTAAACACTTTCTCGGGCGGGAACGCAACGATCTGCTGGGTATGCAGAGAGTGTCAGTATTGCTTCTCGCCCTGAACCAAACCACTGGATACCGCGCTTGCATTATATGCACGGACGGTGCGACAATGTAGCAGCTGTAAGTTCATGATTCAGTCGACCCCGCTTTAAAGACGCTCGCGTTAAGGGAATCCCCCACTTTAAGGAAAATTTGTATGCTGAGCACCAGGGGGCCCGGCAGAATGTACGATAATGGGGTATCCCCTTTTTCTGCTGCGTACCCCCTATTTTGTGTTCTGCGGGCCTGCGGGCCGCTCTTTGCACGCACCACGCACCACAGTGAGTGATGAAGTATCGACGCACAGACAGCAGAAGTAGCGAGCGGTCTGCTGCTGCAGCTGCAACAGGGTGTTGGCATGGAATGATTCCTCCCATCTACCGGCGGACCATCTCATGCCGCCACAAAAACGTGTGGAGAACCAATGTGCGCGATGAGATCTCTACTGATCACCGCAGTCCACCAGTGCCCATGCGGGCGGCAGATGCATGGCTTCTGTGGCCGAGGGATCGGCGAGGAAGGCTTCGGACAGCAGAGAGCGTGCACAGATTGTCAGAGGAGAACGACTACAGGCAAGATCGACACCGGCACAAGTCCCATGAAGGTAGACAGCAGTAGCGACAACGAGGACAACAGCAGCAGGTGATGATCGTGATTTACAGCAGCCAGAAGCAGCAGCAGCAGCAGCAGCAGCAGCAGCAGCCATTGTCCGAACGCGTGCTGTTGAGGTGTTGAGCAGGAAACCGTGCACCACGATGGTGCATGTACATGGCATGTCCTTGGCTTCGTCTTATTCTTGTCAAACAACAACAGTGTCAGCATGCCAGGAAAACTCACTGAGATTGTCCGCACAAAGCTGCGTGTGCGTGTGTATTTTTTTTTTTTTTGTCATGACATAAACGATCGTCAATACGTGTCGGTGTGTGTGCAATTGTAGTGAGCGTCAAAAACCAAGTGAAGACTCTCGCTACTGCTGTGCATCTTTTGGCACGCAACTTGCGCCTGAAGCAGTTCGCATGCCGCGCTGCCGAAGTGATTCTCGTTGTTCAACGCTGATAGAAAGTGAGCTTTTGTACGTTCAGAGGACTCTGGTGTTTACGGTTCGCACTTGAAAAACATACAAAATAGACGCAGTCGTGATATTCTTTTGTCCTATTTTTATTCAGCGTAAATTGTACCTGCTGGCCTGCGTGCAGTCTCTCGGAGGTAGGTGCGAGCACTCTCGTTCTCCGGAAAATAAGCGCATGTTGTGTTGGGCACAACGGCATTTTTTCTCACGTGGGTGTATTTGCCAACAACCTGCCCTGACATGTCACGATTCCGTCGGCTCTTGCAAAACTTGTCGCGCACGAGGAGGCAACCGGCTGGAGGCAAAGAGTCAGAGACTGCAAGGAAGGGGAAACGGCCTCAACGCACCGCGGGGGGAGGCGGCGGAGGCGCCGCGGGGGACGGCACAATAGTGTCGTCAAAAAATTCCGGGGTGTCCAAGCCCGGACGGGACACCGGCAAAAAGAAGTTATCGATGACGCAGCGATTGCAGATTGTCAAGGAGGTCCNGATTCCGTCGGCTCTTGCAAAACTTGTCGCGCACGAGGAGGCAACCGGCTGGAGGCAAAGAGTCAGAGACTGCAAGGAAGGGGAAACGGCCTCAACGCACCGCGGGGGGAGGCGGCGGAGGCGCCGCGGGGGACGGCACAATAGTGTCGTCAAAAAATTCCGGGGTGTCCAAGCCCGGACGGGACACCGGCAAAAAGAAGTTATCGATGACGCAGCGATTGCAGATTGTCAAGGAGGTCCAGGGGGGGGCTAAGAGGAGCATGGTTGCTGCCAAATGGAACGCCGGTACTTCGTACATCAGCAAGTTGATGAACCCGGAGAAAATCGCTGAGCTTGAGAAAGCCCGCGACATGGAGCTCGACCAGGACGCCCTTCGCGCCCCGAAGTCGGTACACGACGAAGTGGAAGAGAAACTACGCAAGTGGATCAACATCGCACAAGCACGCTTTAAGGCAAGTACATATTTTGCATTAGTCATGTGTTGGTCAGGATACAACTTGGTTGTCTGTACACCTACACCCTTCCGCCCCTCCACCTCCTCCCACTCTCGGCCAAGCTGCTGGGTTGGGAGTTCGACAAGCTCTAGTCCACCTGTTTCAAGCTGGCCGACTGAAGGCACAACCAATTCAAGGGAGAGTTGATCGAAGCCATGTCGCTGCTGTTTTTTTTGTGTCTTTCCCGACGCAGGCAACCAAGATTGGCGTGAGTGGTTCGATAATCCAGGCCCAGGCCTTGAAGATCGCGGCGCAGATGGGGAAGACCAACTTCAAGGCGACCAACGGCTGGCTACATCGCTTCCTGAAACGCTACAGCTTCACTCACGTCCAATTGCACGGAGAAGCTGGTGACGTGGACAAGCAGAAGGTGGCAGAGGAGATCGAGCGGATTTGTGAGCAGCTGCAGGAGTTCGACGTCGAGTTCGTTTTTAACATGGACGCGACGGGACTTTTCTTCCGCTGCTTCCCGAGAGGTACATACGTCACGAGGGGGGAGGCCGCCGCCGGTGTCCACAGAAAAATCGCGCGGGGTTCGGAGGCCATGAAGGCCAAGGATCGGTGCACGGTGGTCGCCTGCTTCAATACGACCGGGTCTCTGATGGTGCCGTTGGCCGTCATCAGCACTTCGAAAAAACCGAGTTTTCCGCCACGTCCGCAAACCGCCATGTCCCTACTTCGCCCAGGAGAGTGCCTGGCTCGACGCAGCCATTCGCCAGCGGTGGTTTGACGAAGACTTTGTCTTGTCCCCTTCGTCAAAGGCAAGACCTCAAAGAAGGTGGCCCTCTTGTGGGACAACTGCCCCGGCCACAAGATCAAAAGCAACGACCCGCAGATCGTCATCATCTTCTTGCCTCCGAACGTCACTTCTGTCTACCAGCCCATGGACATGGGCATCTTGTTTGTACTCAAGTGCCAGTACAACACCGAGATGGTGACAAGGCTGGCAGACCTCGTCGAGGACTGGGACACCGTCCGTGCACGAAAAAAATAAAGGTGAATTCAAAACAACAATGTAGGGGCGCTCTTTGTTACCGTCGTTGCAGGTCTTGCGAAGGCTCTGAAACTGGTTTCAACATTAGCCCTTTCATCCGTCCCTGTATTTCGTTTCGGCAGAGGGTGCCGGGGCCTCAGCGATGCAGGACAGGCGACAATGCTGGACGTCACGGAGATCTGTTCCCCGAAGTGGCGTAGCTTCGACGTTCAGACGGTCATCAGGTGCTGGCTCAAGGCTGGCATCCTTCCCAGGGAGCACTGCAATGTTCTCAAGGGCATGGACACGCGGCTTGACCGAGAGGACAAGGACGACGCGGCAATCATCGACGGCCTTTGTGACATGGTCTCAAAAATGTTGATGCCAGCTAGGGTAACGGACTAGAGGTCCATGCCGCGAGTGTTGACGGACAATTTGTTTGTTCAGAAGAGCACAGACCTCACAGAGCAGGAAGTCCGAACGGCGGTCAAGACGTGGCTTCCGGTAGAGGACGACCCCGAGGTGGTAGAAGAGGAGGTGGAGTTGGAACTGCAGGCAGTAGAGAGGGACCTCGCCGGCTAAGAAATGGACGACGACGTATCGAGCGAAGAGGGCGACGGCGACGGCAGGCCGGAGTCGTGCATAACCTCGTCCCTCACCGAGGGCAAGGTTACCTCTCGCTTGGAGGACGTTCGATCCTATTTGTACGCGAAGGGAAGGGGTGGCGAGTACCGTGAGATGCAGTACCTTCTTTCGAAGACCGTTCATTCGCTTACTCATGAAACTCAACAGAGCCGTAGAGCCAAGCCGCGGGGGGAGGTTCAGGGAACTCTTCGCGATGGGGAAAAGCCGTCAGGGTAGCTTGGTCTCCGTCGGGACAATTATATGTACTGGTGTTCCTCGGTGCGACGCTGAAATACGCTCGTTTTTTCGTGTTTCACGAGCATTTGATAAATATATTTCTACTTGGACTTTCCTCCTTCTTCCGCTGCCAGCGAAGCAGTACATTAGTTGGCCAAGTTCAAACTCGTATACTGTGTGTAGTTGTGTTCAATACGTCCCCGACTGCTGTACATCTCATTTTAAGTGTTGTAAATATGTTCGACGTCAACAAACGGTTGCCAGTCGTCTCGGCGATGCTGACTTTTCGTAACACACCCTTCCTTATCAAAAGACGCGTAGTTTGAGAAATAGCATGCCTCCATTGGTCCCCGGGATGGTGAGCTATCGTCCCCTGAATTTTAAGGACGCAACCCCGCTTTAAGGACGTTTTTTTTTCGCGGAAAACCACGTGCGTCCTTAACCCTTTTGGGTCTACAGGCGTCCTGACAGATCATTGATTGATCATTTGNACACACCCTTCCTTATCAAAAGACGCGTAGTTTGAGAAATAGCATGCCTCCATTGGTCCCCGGGATGGTGAGCTATCGTCCCCTGAATTTTAAGGACGCAACCCCGCNCGTATACTGTGTGTAGTTGTGTTCAATACGTCCCCGACTGCTGTACATCTCATTTTAAGTGTTGTAAATATGTTCGACGTCAACAAACGGTTGCCAGTCGTCTCGGCGATGCTGACTTTTCGTAACACACCCTTCCTTATCAAAAGACGCGTAGTTTGAGAAATAGCATGCCTCCATTGGTCCCCGGGATGGTGAGCTATCGTCCCCTGAATTTTAAGGACGCAACCCCGCTTTAAGGACGTTTTTTTTTCGCGGAAAACCACGTGCGTCCTTAACCCTTTTGGGTCTACAGGCGTCCTGACAGATCATTGATTGATCATTTGTAAATGCTGGTTTTGTGGCATGCCATGGAGTTGTCGCCCTGCATCCCTCCACGCCAGGTGTTGGCAATCAATATGTAGGTGTGTCTTTATTATTCGCATCGACCGCGCTACCCGGTGGCCAATGAAAAGACCTAAGTGTCAGCGGGAAATATCAAGGTCCCTGGAACGGCCAAAATTAGAAAAATGCACACTGCTCTAAATGCGAATACCACCACGAATTTCTCCCTATATCCTTTCACAGAGACACACATCAACAGCTCCACACACATGCCCTGGTCCGAATCTAGGAAGCCACTAAAGCAAAGACAGGAGGACAGCAAAAAGGGGCACTTCAAGCCCAAACAGGCCAGGATATCGTGGTATGCTGCATATCCTCCAAATCCGAAAATCGTACACTCCCAAGATCTAGCACTGTCATCATGTCAGCGGCGTTTCTGCACAGCAGCAGCCGTATAGACGAGTAGGTAGTAACACATACACTATCAGCATAGCCCCACACCTACCCTCGCCCGAACCTAGAGAGCCAATGATGCAAAGGTAGGTGTGTGCTGGTGTGTGCTTGCGTGCTTGTGGTAATCGTGGGAAAATCACATGAGCTGTAGTGAGCCGGCAGGGCTCACATTGGGGAGGGGACAGAGAAGTANCCGAAAATCGTACACTCCCAAGATCTAGCACTGTCATCATGTCAGCGGCGTTTCTGCACAGCAGCAGCCGTATAGACGAGTAGGTAGTAACACATACACTATCAGCATAGCCCCACACCTACCCTCGCCCGAACCTAGAGAGCCAATGATGCAAAGGTAGGTGTGTGCTGGTGTGTGCTTGCGTGCTTGTGGTAATCGTGGGAAAATCACATGAGCTGTAGTGAGCCGGCAGGGCTCACATTGGGGAGGGGACAGAGAAGTACAGATGTACAAGAACCAGCTATATGGGGCTACAAGCCCTCTCACTGATCATTTTCACCGATCATTTGAATATACTGAATATAGACTGGTTCTGGCGGCTTGACGACTGATCTTTTCGAGGTCTACGAGCCTAACCTGCCCTACCGGCCGCACCGAGACCACGCATCAACCCTTCTATGATCCTAACTGTGACCACCGTCCTGTCGCGGGCAGCCCTCATGGCCTATGGGTGGACATAGCTGTTGCGTCTACAGAAGAACACTCGTCTTCTCTCTGCTGTACTTCTTTCTCTCCCCGCACTCTCTCCTCCCTTTTCTTTTTAGCTGCAGATAAAAAGAAGCGGTAGATGCAAAGGGGTTAAAGCGGGGTCGACCGGTCCAAAAGTCTCCTGAATTTTAAGGACGCAACCCCGTTTGAAGGACTTTTCTTTCGGGAAAAACCATGTGCGTCCTTCAAGCGGGGTCGACTGTTCAGAACAGTCGACCGAATACCGCTGCTGTACCCCTCTCGGTGTTCCTCCGCATGTGTACATATTTGGGACAAGACGACCACATGTATGAGGACCACCACCAAACGGACTCAAAGCAGTGTGCAGAGGTAGACTGTTGTGGCAACATCTCCTTCCTTAGAGCATGAGATGGGAGGCGAGCGGTGTTGCTACGGTGTTGCCGTGCTGCAGCTCTTGCAAGCAGTGTGGGCATTGGTACCGAGCACAGCAATGATGCAGCAACAGGTCTACAGAAGGTTGGCAACTAGTCTACAGGGAGGAAGTTGGAGCAGCGGTTGGTCTTCCTCTTGAACAAACCCGAGGAACCGTGTGCGATCAACGCCCCTTGCATTGATCCATAACAGCCTGTGGTTTCGGGCTTATCATATGCAACTAACGACCTCAGCAGGAGCTACGAGCGCTCACACACAGCAGCGGGGGGATCCCAGAGAAAGATGGGAGTGTTCGATGGGTTTGGTTTAGCCCTCTTGCAATCGCCAATGACACGGCTACACACCGTGCCTGCTTTTGATTTCGCCCCGGCACACACACCTGAATTACACCGCGCTGAGCCATGGTGTACCACGAGTAAAGGAGCCCAGACCTTGCTTGCTGTCGTTGGTGGAACAGGACCAAGGAAGCCACGCGCGGCCAGCGTAGGGGGTACGCGATTAGCAGTATCCCTCGTGTCATGTAGGGAACCAGATTCGTGAAAAAATGATCCCACGGGGCGGGTGAAGCTAAGCTCATGTGTGACACACGCTCTGCTACGACTTTGGCCTACGTTAGTGAGCTCTACGCTGTGGCTCTTCCTGCATTCCGTCGCTTCAATTGCATCTAAAGGGGAGGGGGTTGGTCGGCATGGTTCCGCGGCGAAGAAGGGCCTTCACGGCAGCCCTGACACTCGTGTCATGTTCCTGCCCGACCCTCGCGTTTCTGCCTTCAACACCGCACACAGCAGCAGCAGCAGCAGCAGCAGCAACTGCCCGCCGTGCTGGTAACATAGCAACAGCAGCCGACCAAGTTGCACGAAGCGAACCGCGGCAGTGCCAGTCCCGAACACGTGCCCTGGCACGGCAGTGCCAAACGCGAACACATGCCCTAGCACGCGGAGATCTGGAAGAGGGGAAACGCTACAATGATCGAACCGGGAGGAGGAGCACGGCGACGACGGGGGGGGTGCCCATGATGATGGCAGCGGATGAGAGCAGCAGCAGCAGCAGCAGCGGTCCTGCAGCAGAAGCAACGGCAGATGCACCAGTGGTCGCCACCAGCAGCAGTGGGGCCTCGACGCCCGTCGCTGCTCCCCGAAAAGACGACGACGACGACGAGCTCCCCCTAACTCTCGACAAGGCCCTGGAGGAAGGGGTCAACCGGGCCATGCGCGGCGACCCGGGCGTCCTTCGGCAGGTCCTAGCCCCCGGCGTGGAGTGGCGGGGGCCGCTGGGCAACAACGCGGGCCTCGCTAAGGTGGAGGAGGAGCTGAGGGGGCTGGGGAGCCTGCTCAGCGCCCCGAGGATGTCGGTGTTCGCGTCGAAGGACGGGGCGAAGAGGCTGGAGTGGATCGCCAGCGGGACGTGGCCGTTGCCGTGGCTGCCGAGGTTTATCGTCAAGGGGGCGTCGAAGCTTCAGACTGGTCCCGATGGCAAGGTAGGGTGGAGTGCCGCCACGGCGCGGTGTGTGTTTTGTTGCGTGAGTTTGTTGTTGTTGTTGTTGTTGGGGCCCTGATTCCGGGGCGTTTGGATCGTGAGAAATACCGTGGGTGACGCAAGATACCACCACCCCCCTTTGGACCAATTCGAAGAATGCTCCACGCCGAAGAGAAGATGCACAAATCACTGCTGTCACGGGTTCGTAAAGCTCTCTCGACGAGACGGTTCCAGCACCGCCACGGGCGCTGTTTCTGCTTTGGAGTAGTAATCGAGCTTTGAAAATCTGCCGGAGGGGTGTGGTATCTCGTTCATCTACGGTAGCTGCTGTTTTCATTCATGCACACAACTCTTGCATACTTTAGCATTGGAAACGGAGGCAAGTTTTCGTGGCGTGTTGGGCCTCCTTCTCCTCCCCCTCCCGTTCTTGTTCGGTTAGCTTCCTGCTGATGCACTCCGAGTTTCGTAATGCGTACGAGAGAGGGGAGGGTGTAGAGGGTAAGTGAGAGACGACGTAAAATTTAGACGCGCAAGACGGCCACCAAACTGTCTTGTTGAGCCTGTTACCCACAGGAGAGATATTGCTGTGTGCTGCTCGGGAAACTTACCCACAGGGGAAATATCGCTGTGTACTGCTCGGGAAACCGTGGAAATACAGGTAACGTTCTCTGATGCTATGAAGTCATTGCTAATATATCTTAGACTATTTTCTTAGAGATGGATTCATTGGGTCATATAAAGAAAATACAAAAGAAAACTAATTGAAAACGGCGGGAGGTGTGCAGTAGAGGTTACCGTGGAACACGAGAGGAGGGTTTTGATGCCTCACGTATCTTTCTTATGCCGGCCGCGGTAAAGCAGCTCTTTTGTAATACCAATAGTATTTGATCTTCTCGCCGCACTACGGCAGTAGTTGAACACGCGTACGAAACGACACCAATCTCGCCGCCTCCGTGGCACTCGCCGCTTTGCTAGATACGAAGCGGGTGTTGTGGTCGTCTGATCTCCACTCGGCACCAATCCTTGTCGGCGGCCACACGCTCATTTTGAAGCATGACACAGCAGTAGTTTGGATTGAACCTTCATACCGCTTTGCTGTTTTTGGCGATCAATTCGTGGTGTTGGCCGCAGCCCCCATCTGTGACGGACGTCCACAAATCATCGACACGCGGGGCGGGGAGTCCATCCATCATAAAACTTCTGCTTCGCACTCACACCGATGGTTCGTTCGCTGGCGTATTACGTGCTTGGGTGGTGGTCGCGCTGCCATACAGAGTCATTTGTACCGAAGACCACCGCGCCGGGTACAATACACACTTGGAACTGTTTTGCTTAAGCATTTCGATACACGGCCACGTGCCGTCCCGGAGTCGAATCCGGTTTTTTGTTGTTTCGCGACTCGTAGTTTGTCGCTGGTTGTTAATGGTCTATTACACCTTTGAACCCGTTCCGGTCTCCGCTCATGACCTTCCATATAAACACTACCCGTACTCTCGTGACTATCACAGGTGGTAAAGATCACCGACACGTGGGAGGGTAACCCGGTGACCCTGGGCCTGAAGCACCTCGTGCCGGGGTTCTGGGACATCTGGCACCAGCTGGGCTCTCCCCCCGCGGAGAAACCTCCTTACAGGGTGGTGAAGCGGGCGCTGGGGTACGTGATCAGGGAGTACGCGCCGCGCTTGGCGACGCAGCCGTCGCTCATCGACTACTCCAACTCACGAGAGGTGAGGAGGAGAAAGAAGGAAAGCGACGTTTTTCGGCAGAAAGCACCAAATATGATGTAGCGGGGGTACTCAAGTAAACGCATGGCGTAGGCGTGAGACCGTTGACCTCGCATCCCTACAATGCTACCGGGACGGGGCAATATCTTGGGTTTTTCTGGCCCAGGCTATTAGATGGGGCGGGGGCGAAGGGGGATTCCGGACTCATGCTTTGGCATGCCGTAGTTGTTAGACCTTGACCACGCGTGCTCGAGAGGACGGAGCACGAGGACAAGGGGGAGAGGGGGGTATTGGGCTGGGGAGCCAAGGATGTTGACGGTTAGCGTGAGGGGAGAGGGTTGATGTCAACGGCGGAAAGATAACACCCATTGCACGCTTGCCGTCGCTCATTGACGGCTCCTGATCGCTACTGCAGCCTGTGTTGCATTGATCTCCGGAACGTTCATCGGAACGTTGCTCGGAACTTTCCCTCATTTGCCCTTGTCGGAACGTCCTCGTATTTGCCCTTGGATCGCCCCTCCTCTGTATAGATCCGGAAGGCGCTGATCTTGCCCGGCTTCTGCCACGACGGAGAGATCAAGACGTCTGGCCGTAAGCCGGACGAGTACTACGTCACGGGGCCCCTGGAGGTGGCGATCCAGCCCTTCATCGCGACGGGAAACTTCCCGAACGGGACCTGGTTCAACGGGACGAGAAGGTATAATTGTACTGCTTGTGCTGTGTGCGCGTGTGACTTCCGCGCGTTGCTGTCGTATTGAAAAAACTTTCCGGTATCTGCTCAGTGTGGTGCATGTTGTCGTCTTGACGTCAAGAAACGTTCCGGTCTCAACTCATTACCGTGTAAATGTCCGTGCTGGTCGAACTGACGCTGACGCCTTCCGTGGTCACAAGCCAACTGCAGCCATGGTGGCTAAATGATAAGCTAACAAGAGCATAATTATATACCCCCACCGCTCCATCGAGTATACGCCTTCCGTTGCCGTGTTCGGCTGGAAAACCTCCAGGGAGGCGTCGCAGAGCCGTCGGGCAAACCGCATCACATGGACGGTGCCGATACCGACCGCGATGGGCCTGGACCCGACCAAGCTCCCGGAACCTCCTTCGGAGCGCGAGAGGGGGGAGGACCAGAGGTCGAGGCACGTCCGACAGGGGGCCCGCAGAATCGCCGTGACCAATTTTAACGGCATTCCGCAGGTGTGTTGTTGTGGTTGTTGCTGTTGGTGTTGATGACGTTGTTGTCGTTGTTACTGTTGTTGTATGTGTGATGGTGCCTTCCGGACCCCCCACCCTATTTTTTTGACACCCCTCGCAATAACACAGCCTAGCTCGCAAGTCAGGCGCAAAAGAGGGAAGATCCGGGGGGGGGGAGGGGGGGGGGATCAGGTACAGACATTGTGTAGAATGAACTACCAGGTACTGTGTTGAAACAGAGCGACAGACGCGTACAACTATGCCGACATGACATAACCAAAACCGTGGCTGCAGCAGTCAGTAGAAGCGGGAATGGCCGAACATTGACTTCCCGCGTACACATTCCGTTCAATCCTAGCCCTAAACGTAACCTTGACGACAACAATGACCGACCTTGTTGGTTGTCTTTACATGCAGAAACCGCTCCGGTCTCCGCCCAGGGCCCGCACTGATCCACCTGGGTACTGGCGACTTAACGGAGCGACCAAAGAAAGAAACGTAAACATGACGTTAACCCCTAGCAACAATAATGACCGACCATTCGGTACTGACTTTTTTACCGTAGCGACTTCACGCGTAGAAAAGAAACGTCAAATCCTAACCCTAACAACAACAATGACCGACCTTTGGGTACGGGCTTTTCAATCGACCTTCTTCACGCGTAGTGAACGCAACCGCCAAACCCTAATCCGAACGAAAATAAACAACAATCACGCGAAACCATCAGGACCCCGAGGCGGCGGAAGTGAGAGCGAAGCTCCTCAAGAGGTTAGCGGCGGACGGGGTGGAGCCCTCGAAGGGTGCCGACGGGCGCGTGCGAAGCGGGATCTTGATGCACAACTCGGTGGCGTGCTTCACGAAGGCGGGCAAGCTGGCGATGAGCATCTTGTATCACCGGCCCAAGTACATCGGGATAGGGAACGAGGTTTTCGTGGAGTTGGACCCGGAGGAGGCGGTCACCGAGGAGGTGGTCGAGGGGAAAGTGGGAGGGGGGACGTGGTGACGACGACGACCCTGTAGCCTTGGCGAGAGGATGTTAAGCTTGGTTTTTTGTGGGTTGGGAATAGGGGTTAGAGGTACGAACCTCCCCTCTCTATTTCGGAGGTCTAGGGGTTGGGGATGTACGAACCACCCCCCCCCTCACTCTCCCGGAGATTCAGGGGTTGGGGATGTACGAACCCCTCCCCCCCTCACTGTTGCGGAGATTTAGGGGTTTGGTTTAGGAAACCTTCTCTCTACTTCGTAGATTCAGGGGTAGGGGATGTACAACCCCCCCTCTCTATTTCGTAGATTAACAATAAAATTCTCGCGAAGGCCGTCACGACGATACTACCCCCCCCTACAGAAGAGGGGAGGGAGCCTACAAAAGTGTGCTTGGAGAGTTGACGGCATGCCCCAACAAGAGGCGCTCCGACGCGGTGTGTGGAGCAGGTGACGAGGAAGATTGCGATTGAAGCCAAGAGGAACACACATGGGGGAGATCCGCAAAGGGGGGGTAGTACCAGCATAGCATGTGCAGCAGACAGGTTCGGGTATTTCCCGTCGAAACATAGCTGTTTTCTTGGCACGTCCAGCACCGATAGCAGAGCATTTCTAGTAGGTCAAACGGGCTTTTTAGAGATCTTTCTGCGATAGAAGAATGATTTTCTACTGTAGTCCGTGCAACCCACCTGTGTCGAGAGTGGTGCCCTCGGTATGGATTCAGCTCGATCTCTTCTGGGTATCTCCGTGCGCGCGGCGTGCTGCAGTATCGTACAAATCATTCCACAAGTGCTTGACATTTTCTTACGCGGGTGAACGGGGGCGGTGCTGCCATTACTTTAAAACGCGATATGTCCGAAGTCGAAAAAGAAAAGTTGTGGCGCCACAAAGCAACTCCCGCGTGCCGCGTGCGGCGTCGGCGCCATGCGTGATATCGTGATATCCATCTCTCTTTTTTTTTCACCACAAAGGTACGTTTACGGCAAGACAAGGCATAGGACATCCCCCGCCCGGCCATTGTTGTTTGTGGTGGAGATAAAAAATCATCATTCATGCAGGGGTCAAGCACCCTGCTGTTTGAGCTTGGTTGGGTATTTTCGCTGTGAATGACGGCAGTCAGTCCCAAAATTCCAACGAGAAACGCTTCTTTCATGGCGATGAATTGACGCAGACAGCCGTATGCGACGAAATGCATCACAAGAGGGCAGGTGATCTCGTTCCATCTCATGGTGGTGTACCGTAGGACATGGTGGTGTACCGTACCGTAGACCATCATCCAACGTCGTCCTCTACATTTGGTTCAAGCGCTGACGGATTCTTCGAAACTGCAACCGCAGGTGCCATCCCAGATAAATCCTGTCTACTTTACATCCCGTACACCTGTCCCAACTCAGTCCCGTTCAAGCGTTGGGATTGTTCAAACTGCAGCTCCAAGATTCCATCCCGAATCCTGTCTATTTTGCACCGCTTCCATCCCATAAATGCCCGTGCCACTCTTGTCCCGTTCAAGCGTTGGGGATAATTCAAAACTGCAGCTGCAAGATACCATCTCGAATTGCGTCTTTCTACCACTTCCACCCCATACACCCGTCCACGCGTGTCATTCGAACCGGGACCCCCGCGTTCCATCACAACTGGAGTTCCATGATCTCATCGCCGTCATCGCCGATGTTGTCGCCGCTATGCGGTTGGGGAAAGAACTTGGACGACGTCGTCGTTCCGTAGCCAGCGTCGTCGTAATCATCATCGTCGTCGTCGTCGTCGTCGTCGTCCGTTCCGGCACCGAACGAGCACGGAAGCCCGTCGTCTGATACCACACACAGTCCGAGCAATGTCGACACACCGAACAAAAACAGGTTAGGATACGAGGAGTCTCAAATGTGATGACGATAGACCTTCAAAGGCACACACAACGTTTTTGTCCCAAGCCCGACAAAGTGACAGGGAGAGGGGTACCCTGCGTGGTGCATTTCAGATTTTAGCCTATGTTGTTGCGATGATTGTCTGACATCGGTTCAGCCAGTTCTCCGCCCCAACGCTGTGATTGCCAAAAAGATCCCCACGTTCATTTCGTTGTTACACATCGCTGACAACGAGATCCCACCTCTACTACACAGGCCCGAACCGCTGCTGATTTACTCCCCCCCCCCCCCCCCCCCCCCCCCCC